GCCTGGTGGACCAAGGTCTCACAAACCAAGCCTGGCCTCGGGCCAGGATTGGAGAGAAGAAGAATCCCCAGAACCCCATCAAACCGATATCAAGCAGTTATTATTCTAATATACAAACTGTCACATGCAATGACCGAGGAATTCTTAGAACATAAGCAAAATAGTGAATAACCTTGATAATTTGGCAAATCCAATACCCGATATTATTTTCCTACACGACTTCAACCTACCTAGTTTAAGATGGAGAATAACAAGCAATAATATTATACCAGGAAATCTATGGACATAACCAACCATAGATTAGAGAACTACTTGGATTCTGTGACAAATTTTCCCAGCAGATATCAGAGCCAACTAGGAACGAAAATATTCTAGATCATGTCTTCACATTCACAAACAATGAAGACAATCAGGGACATTACGATCTCAGATACTACATACTCAGATCACAAGCTCATTGAAGTGCAAACTACCATCAATACTCTGAATAGACCTAAAGCAATGATCAAGCGAGAGGGGTTATTATTAATAATAAAAGGATACACTGGGAGACAATAAAAAAAAGGGAACTTACAAACATTCAATGGGACACTTAAGTAATACAAATCCTACGCAAGGAAAAGAAAAACCAACTTCTGAAGCAAATAAAGTCTCGAAACGTGTTCCTTTGAGGAAAGCCAGAAAGAGGTCCAACGTAGAAACAGAATGCAGATGACACCACAATAGAAGAAAAAATTAACAGAAATGCTTAAGCAGACACAACTTTCCATACAAAAAAGGAATAATTTAATCAGGGAGATTGAAGAAATCGAGCAGAGACTGAAGCATTCATATCAAAATGAAGAAAGGACACTTGAACAGAAAGCAATTCAAGAAAAAGAAAAATCCAAAATTATTTCTTCACATATGCTGAATAAAAAGCAAAAACAACTGCCAGTATTGGATCTATTCGTACGGGTGAAGGTTCATGCACTGAGGATGACAAAAATTAGTGAAATCCTAAAAAAGCAGTACGAGGACATGTTTAATGCTGTTTATTGGAGTGCTAAAGTGGAAGATCCGGACAACTACTTCATGCGTGATATCCAAACCCCTGTAAATGTAACTAATATCAACATGAGCGTGGCAGATTTGGAAAGTGAAATTGACAACTTTCCCATGCACTCAGCCCCAGGTTCAGACTCATGGTATTCACTATTTATAAAGAAATGCAAAGTGCCAGTAGCGCAGGCACTCACAAGTGTGGACACGGGGGAGCCACCAGATGCGCTTAAATCACGAGACATAGCCCCTCTACACAAGGGAAGGAGTAAAGCATTGGCAAAGAATTATAGACCATTTACACTAACATCCTACATAATAACAGCATTTGAGAGATTGATCAGGAACCAGGACCTAGATTCACGAAGCTCCCTGTATTTCTACTTCAGTAAATGTGCTATGAAGGTTCTTAAGTATTGCGTAAGAATGTTCCTACGTCCAATTCAGAAAGATGTACTTGGGCAATTATCAAAAGAAGGCACCAAACCAGAAAGGCTATGTAGCACCACCAAATGTTATCTTTATAGGTTAGGTAGGGTTGGTTAGGTTCGGTCATATATCTACGTTAATTTTAACTCCAATAAAAAAAAATCGACCTCATACATAATGAAATGGGTAGCTTTATGAAATGAAGAAAAAATTAGAGAAAATATATTAATTCAAGAAAACTTGGCTTATTAGGCAAATCGGCCCTTGCATAGTAGGCAGAGAAGTGCGTTCTGGCTACTAGGTACGACACACACACACACACACACACATTATATATATATATATATATATATATATATATATATATATATATATATATATATATATAATGTGTGTGTGTGTGTGTGTGTCGTACCTAGTAGCCAGAACGCACTTCTCTGCCTACTATGCAAGGGCCGATTTGCCTAATAAGCCAAGTTTTCTTGAATTAATATATTTTCTCTAATTTTTTCTTCATTTCATAAAGCTACCCATTTCATTATGTATGAGGTCGATTTTTTTATGTATGTATGCATTATGTATGAGGTCGATATATATATATATATATATATATATATATATATATATATATATATATATATATATATATATATATATATATATATATATATATATGTCGTACCTAGTAGCCAGAACTCACTTCTCAGCCTACTATGCAAGGCCCGATTTGCCTAATAAGCCAAGTTTTCATGAATTAATGTTTTTTCGTCGACCTAACCTACCTAACCTAACCTAACCTAGCTTTTTTTGGCTACCTAACCTAACCTTACCTATATATATAGGTTAGGTTAGGTTAGGTAGGGTTGGTTAGGTTCGGTCATATATCTACGTTAATTTTAACTCCAATAAAAAAAAATTGACCTCATACATAGTGAAAAGGGTAGCTTTATCATTTCATAAGGAAAAAATTATAGTAAATATATTAATTCAGGAAAACTTGGCTTATTAGGCAAATCGGGCCTTGAATAGTAGGCTGAGAAGTGAGTTCTGGCTACTAGGTACGACATATATATATATATATATATATATGTCGTACCTAATAGCCAGAACGCACTTCTCTGCCTACTATGCAAGGGCCGATTTGCCTAATAAGCCAAGTTTTCTTGAATTAATATATTTTCTCTAATTTTTTCTTCATTTCATAAAGCTACCCATTTCATTATGTATGAGGTCGATTTTTTTTTATTGGAGTTAAAATTAACGTAGATATATGACCGAACCTAACCAACCCTACCTAACCTAACCTATCTTTATAGGTTAGGTTAGGTTAGGTAGCCGAAAAAGGTAGGTTAGGTAGTCGAAAAACAATTAATTCATGAAAACTTGGCTTATTAGGCAAATCGGGGCTTGCATAGTAGGCAGAGAAGTGCGTTACGACATATTATATATATATATATATATATATATATATATATATATATATATATATATATATATATATATATATATATATATATATATATATATATATATATATATATATATATATATATATATATATATATATATATATATATATATATATATATATATATATATATATATATATATATATATATATATATATGTCGTACCTAATAGCCAGAACGCACTTCTCAGCCTACTATTCAAGGCCCGATTTGCCTAATAAGCCAAGTTTTCATGAATTATTGTTTTTTCGTCTACCTAACCTACCTAACCTAACCTAACCTAGCTTTTTTTGGCTACCTAACCTAACCTTACCTATAAATATAGGTTAGGTTAGGTTAGGTAGGGTTGGTTAGGTTCGGTCATATATCTACGTTAATTTTAACTCCAATAAAAAAAATTGACCTCATACATAGAGAAAAGGGTTGCTTTATCATTTCATAAGAAAAAATTATAGTAAATATATTAATTCAGGAAAACTTGGCTTATTAGGCAAATCGGGCCTTGAATAGTAGGCTGAGAAGTGCGTTCTGGCTATTAGGTACGACATAATATATATATATATATATATATATATATATATATATATATATATATATGTGTGTGTGTGTGTCGTACCTAGTAGCCAGAACGCACTTCTCATCCTACTATGCAAGGGCCGATTTGCCTAATATATATATATATATACATTATTATATATATATATATATATATGTCGTACCTAGTAGCCAGAACGCACTTCTCTGCCTACTATGCAAGCCCCGATTTGCCTAATAAGCCAAGTTTTCATGAATTAATTGTTTTTCGACTACCTAACCTAACCTACCTTTTTCGGCTACCTAACCTAACCTAACCTATAAAGATAGGTTAGGTTAGGTAGGGTTGGTTAGGTTCGGTCATATATCTACGTTAATTTTAACTCCAATAAAACAAAATTGACCTCATACATAATGAAATGGGTAGCTTTATCATTTCATCAGAAAAACATTAGAGAAAATATATTATTTCAGGAAAACTTGGCTTATTAGGCAAATCGGCCCTTGCATAGTAGGCAGAGAAGTGCGTTCTGGCTACTAGGTACGACATATATATATATATATATATATATTATTTATTATTTATTTATTTATTTTGTCACATTAATCCCCTGCATAGCAGTGGAACTGCCTTTTCCCTTCACCGTCAATGCCTCCGCACTGGAAATATACATCTTCACCAGCCCAGGTGAGTCATCAGTCCTGCCACCTCTCCATACCCCCCCAGGGCCTGGCACGGCCTGGTACGCCTCGGAGGCAAGCTGGGCGCCACTGCTAACCGGTAGTTCCCCCCCAACAAACAAGCAGTTAGCCGCCTTCAACTGGCAATGGTGCAGCTCAACACAAAGGCACCGCCAGCCACAAACGAGCAGTTTGCTAGTTGACCAGATGTCCACCTTGTGTTGACACGGGATGAGTCATCACTGCCTCCCTGGAGAGCCAGTCTCTCCCTTAGTGCTCTTGGAACACCTTGGTGTCTCTCACCTGTCGTCTGACTTCATTCAACACCGTGTGTCTGATGCTGTGGTGATATGGTAGCCGTCTTCAGTACACCAGTATATCTTTTTGCTTTGTATTAAACTTTCATTTACTTATTTGACATGCTATATAATAATTGCCAAGTATCGTCATGTGTCATTTTTGTTCATTAATATTTCAGTAAATTGTCTTTATTTGATGATTTTCATTTCTTTCCACTTGCGACTTACATACTGCAAGGCCAATAGCCGCATTTATTTTTTATTTGTGTGGAGAGCCATACCATCTTGGTTCAGTATAGCTGTGATACCACAACCCATAAATAAATAAATAAATAAATAAATAAATAAATAAATAAATGGAGCTTCTTGGGAATGCCTAAGCAACCACTCTGCAGGAACATTTTCCCACAGACCTGGTGTATGAGCCAAACGGTAAATTCCCAAGGGTGAATTCTGCATGGCTCAAATGATCACGGATATTAAAATCAATACTTACATTCACTCTGTTCCAATGAAACCCTAGTTTAAGCTAACTTTTGATACTTACATCTACATTTGTGACATAGGAGCCACCAGTCTTTGAAACACAAATGGGGATCTTAACTTTCTTATCATTGTAACCCAATACCTCCAACTCTACCACATTAGCTTCTCCTTCCTTGGCAGTAGCCCCCAACACCACCTGTGGAGTAGAAGATAATTAGTTTATAATTTAATGTGTAGAAAACTATCATCTCAAATGTTCTGTGCAAATATTAAAATACATACTCCAGATTTAATTTCAATTAACTCTTAGTAAAAACTTTAGATAATTTCTTTTTTTTACCTGTCTTACAGACAGCGTGTGGGTTGTGACAGTACAATCAACAGTACTTTCAGTGGCTGCTCCCTCCCATTTATGGTCCTTGTGAGTTGCATCAAGTGTGACACCTGCGTAATAGAAGGTCATATTGTAACATTATAGTAACAACCTAAGAAATAATATATTTTAATTTAGTGGCTGAGGGGGGGTCTGGGGGAGCTGGAGGGGCATGGGATGGGGGAGCTGGAGGGGCATGGGATGGGGGAGCTGGAGGGGCATGGGATGGGGGAGCTGGAGGGGCATGGGATGGGGGAGCTGGAGGGGCATGGGATGGGGGAGCTGGAGGGGCATGGGGTGGGAGGTCATGGGTTGGGGTGTGCAGGGGAGACAGGTGGGTTGGCAGGAAGGTCAGGGGTTGAGGAGGGGAGGGGAGCCTGGAGGGATGGGATAGGAAGGAGAGCTTAGGGTGGGGGAACTGGGAAGGTCATGGGCTGGAGTAACAGAAGGGCACAAGGTGCAGGAACAGGGAGGACCTGGGGTAGGGGTAGGGGAAGAAAAAGGGCATGGGGGGGCCTGGTTTGAAGAGGAACTTTACTGTCTGGGGAGGTGCAGGTGATTGGTGGGGGATAGTTGAGGGGTTGGTTGGTGGGAGGCTCCTGTCACAATCCTCCCTGGGGGTGCTGGCCTGCTGGTGGAGGGATTCCCACTCCCCTGAGGTTCCTGGAGATACTGAGCCCAGTCCTGTAGCTCCCATATCACTCCCAACACACACACACACACACACAGCCAGAACACACTTCTTGGCCTACTATGCAAGGCCCAATTTGCCTAATAGGCCGAGTGATTTTCTTTATTTTCAATAAATTGTTTCCTATTGGTTTATTTTAATTATTATTTTATTATATTAAGAACATAAATAATTGATTTAGTTATGTTAGTTTAGGTTAGGTTAACCCTTCAATTGCGCATCGCATCATATGATTCTTTGACCGACTTGCAGTAAATTGCGCATCGCATCATGTGATGCTTTGGAGTACTACGCAAGATTTAAACGGCCCACGGATACACGGGGTTCACCACACCTTCATCAGGGCTCTTGTAAACAGACGCCATTTTAAAAAAAAATCGTGGGCCAAACTCCCGGGTGTTAGGGGGCTCAGTATTGAGTCAGCTACCAAGCCTGACGTACGCATCAGGAGCTCACAGCACTGCTGTTCAGCTTGTGACCACAGCATTGCCTAAAAATGCCATAATATACTTGTTCATGCTATTATGTAGTGATGGTATTATTACAGAAGACCCCTGACTGTGATAAAACTGACCAGGGTTCTGATAATAGCAGGATTGTGGTGATATTTGGCGCTGTGCGCCTAGGTAAAAGGGGCATAGGGTGAAAAACTCTGCCCATTGTTTCTCGCCGGCACCTGGGATCAAACCCAGGACCACAAGTCCAGCGTGCTGTCTGCTCGGTCGACCGGCTCCTGACCTAGCAACCATGGGACACCAAGACAAGAGAAGTGATGCTGCCAATTGTGGAGGAGGCCAGTGAAACATTATGTGATCATTGTAAGCCCTTATGTCAACAGTACATGGCAAGATGTTAAATTGTTATTAACTTGTTACTAAGGATGAAGAACCTTGGATATATATGTGTTGTGTATATATTAATGACTAGTGTCATTTCTGTTTAAGTGGTCCATGTCCACTAATCATTCTGGTTCATGTAATTTTATGGTTATGTTTGTATGTAATTATATGTCAGCAGTTTAGGTATATGTGCATTGTTGGAGATGGGAAAAAACATTACAGACTATTTTACCTATGCTATGATGTGAATATAATGTATATGTTGTAGAAGTGTTGGGAGTCATGTCGGGGATAATTTTTAAATTAGTTCATCATTAAATTAGGAGCCGGTCAGCCGAGCGGACAGCACACTGGACTTGTGATCCTGTGGTCCTGGGTTCGATCCCAGGCGCCGGCGGGAAACAATGGGCAAAGTTTCTTTCACCCTATGCCCCTGTTACCTAGCAGTAAATAGGTACCTGGGTGTTAGTCAGCTGTCACGGGCTGCTTCCTGGGGGTGGAGGCCTGGTCGAGGACCGGGCCGCGGGGACACTAAAACCCCGAAATCATCTCAAGAACCTCAAGAAGATCATGTGCATGAACTTATTGGATGAAATTTTAGTTGTACATATATGGTGGGTGCATCCTCCAGGTCCTTGCACCAATGGAACCATTGCAATGATGCATATGGGGACATATGCGTGTTTAAGGAGGGGAGTGGTGTTGTAATCCACAAGTTGGTAGGCATTATTAGCTAGAGGATCATTACTACAACACTTAACGAATGATGATTGGAAGTACATGTTAAGTAGACAGACTATGGATCACATATCTAAGAAAGGTCAAGGGATTAAGACCGCAGCTGCTTAGCCAAACTAATAATTCTTGGAAACAGGACTCGGGCTTCTAGGAACAAGGTTACCGCTTCTAGGGATAAGGTTAATCGGATTATACCTTCCTTGAGAGGCAGGGTGAAATGGTTGATGCCATGGCTGGCTGAAGACAGTCTGGTTGTGGGAGTGGAACTGGCAAGTCCTCCAAGGTCTCCGTTTGTGGCAGCAGTGAAGTGTAGCAGACAGCTATGCGAGAGCCTGATGTGATCTTAGTGACCAAGTTAAGTCTGCAGTATGTGAGTACTGAATGTAAGACTAACCGGGTGTTGTAGTAATTATTCAGTATTAGGGACTTAGGCGGAAGTTACGAGTGCAAGTGGTGACCGCGGAGGTCAAGTGGTTTATGGGTATTTGAAGTGTATTTACCGAATAGAGTATGTTAATATGTTATTAATTGTCAGTCTATTCTTTGTAATTAAATGACAAAACCCGACGGCCTTTAAATGCCTTCCATATGTTACTCATTGTGTTCCAGTACAAACCTAGTGGTACGCTTGAAGGGTCTGGTGTGTGTAGGAGTACACGGTGGTGGAACGGTTGCCGAGGCAAGGTGTTATGTGTTGTGAAATCGCTGTGTTCGGAATGAACCGGGATTAAGTGTCACAACACCTCGTCTCAACTATTTTCTTAGGTTGAACCTTACCACTGACTTTCTTGGGATCCATGGCATAATATATAATAATTACTGTAGTTTTATGTTCAAAAACAAATACAACGAAATTCTTCATAAGCACAATTGTCACTAAGCAAGCAACTCTTGTAAACTAAGGCAGAGTTGCCCTTACCACCAGGAACCACGAGTTGGTTGATATACATATGGGTCAATCGAAGTCGCTAGACGAGGCGATTGTAAGTACATAGTCACATTTTTTGTCAAAATTGCGGGTGCAACTTGAAAAATTCGTACATAGGGGATAGTCTTATGTCGAGGATACAGTCTTATAATACAAATAATATTATTGACAGCCCAATACAATACTGTATTGCACTTTAAAAATCCATGGTAAAAACAATAAAAATACTAACAAAAATTATATTTTCAATGCATGCTTTTAGAATGTTATGAAAAATATGCATGACTAGGTTGAACTCTGATAAATAGTTAAGATTATTACACTCTCCAGAAATGCTTAGCGTTTCGTAGTGGTGCATGAAAATTGAGTTATATACAGTACATGCAGTGTAATAACAGCAATATATATTTTACTGCTCCCTTCTATGAATATAATAATTGCATCCAATATGCTCACCATATTTTTGTGTAAAGCAATGGTCCACACATTTTATAAAATTATTCCATTGCACAATTAAATATTACTGTTAAAAAACACAGTTGGAGACACTTAAATAATTAGGCAATAATGTCGCAACTCCCACCATACGGCTTGGCTGGAGTAGACCGGCTCTATCATACCAGACTTTCTTGCCCTATCACGGCCAAAATGACACCTACAATTTTCGTCTCCTCAACAGCTCGAGCTGGACATGAGAGCAATAGTCTCATTTCATAAAGGTCAGTGCTCAACCTCCGACTGTGGGAACGCTAAGCCCCGGAATCATCACAAGGTAAGGTTCAAATGGTTGGACACCATTCCTTCCCCCCATCCCATCCCAAATCCTTATCCCTTTCAAGTGCTACATATTGGTAATGTCTTGGTGCTTCCCCTTGATTGTTTCCTTCCTTTCCCCGTGATCAGGGAATGCATTTTAACAGTATCATAAGGAAAACAAAATGTTGAATTTTTTTCTTGGGCAGCTATTAGCTGCACCTCCAAGGGGTTAAGCCCCATTTAAATTATGCCGTTCAGTTTGGGTTGCCATACTGTAGAATGGATAAATTCACTAGAATGCGTTCATCGAAAGATAAATTTAATCCTACAAATTAGAAACATCCTATATGAAGATTGAATAGGCTTAATTTATATTCTCAAGAAGGCAAAGGGGTGACTGAAGTGTACAAGTGGATGAATGGGCATAAGGATATTAACACTATCGGTCACTTTGGACCGGACTCTTGTCCATTATTTTTCTCCCGAATCCTAACTTTTGACTGGACTTGCGTCCACTACAAAAATATTTGTATAAAATTCATTTTTTATTCAATCGACCTCGGGATAGTATCAAAATAGGCGCCTTTAGAATGCACACAATTTGATACCAAAATGAAAGATGTAACATGAAACTTGATGTCCGAACACTTATATGATTATAAATAGGTTTTTGGTCAAACTTTTAAAATATTTGTTAAAATTCTATTTATTGTGCTATTATGTTGGGACTAGTTTTAAAATGTGCGCCGTTACGTCACGAACAATTTGATACCAAAATGAAAGATGCAACAAAAATTTATGTCGGAACACTGGAAAGATATAAATAATTGTGATTATGAGCTTCCAGAATTAAAATATTTGTTAAAATTCCAGTTATTGCTCTTATTATGGGCCTAGTTTTAAAATACGCGCCTTTTTATTGAAAACAACTTGATACCAAAATGAAAGACGTAACACGAAAATTGATGTAATCAAACTGAACGAGTACTGTATTCACATTAGGTTGCAGTATACAAATTGGTGCTCGTTCACGGGTAACTTTAGGCTTTGCTGTTGGGAGTCACGCAAGGTTTTTGGACATTATATTTATACTCACCTGTAGGGAATTCAATTGCGAACACAATGATACCAAAACGAACTATGTAGCACCAGAATTAAGGTGAGAAAACTGAAACGAGTACACACATTTAGGCGTCGCTGCACGCTCGCCCACACCATTGGGGCCATGACGTCAAAGTCTGTGGCGCGCTCGTGGGGTGCGCGATAAGTTAATAAAGGTATTAAATATAAAATAGAACACAAATCAAAGGATATAGATTGGTAAAATTCAGAGTTAGGAGAGACCTGGCATGTATATTGGTATGGAAACGGTTGTGAGAGATTATAGGGTAGAATAGTAGGTATGGGATCATTTGATTGTCTAAAGTATAAGTCAGATGTAGGGCCAATAAGCCTTCTGCAGTCTCCTTAATTTTTATGTTCTTATTAAATGCTAGCATTACAATGGTTCCAAAGATATTCAAGAATTACACATTAGATACAGTCTCATGTTTCAAACTATTGTTATGCAAAATAATCCAATCATAATTACCCAAGCAATGATATCTTATCCTGTATAAACCTAAAAATCATAACCCCAAAAATAGGTTAGGATTCAATGGTCAAAAGGGCCTCGGCCTCACAGACCCCAGCAGGGGTCTCGGCCTCACAGACCCCAGCAGGGGTCTCGGCCTCACAGACCCCAGCAGGGGTCTCGGCCTCACAGACCCCAGCAGGGGTCTCGGCCTCACAGACCCCAGCAGGGGTCTCGGCCTCACAGACCCCAGCAGGGGCCTCGGCCTCACAGACCCCAGCAGGGGCCCGGCCTCACAGACAGCAGGGGCCTCGGCCTCACAGGGGGTCTCGGCCTCACAGACCCCAGCAGGGGTCTCGGCCTCACAGACCCCAGCAGGGGTCTCGGCCTCACAGACCCCAGCAGGGGTCTCGGCCTCACAGACCCCAGCAGGGGGGGTCTCGGCCTCACAGACCCCTGCAGGGGCCTCGGCCTCACAGACCCCAGCAGGGGTCTCGGCCTCACAGACCCCAGCAGGGGCCTCGGCCTCACAGACCCCAGCAGGGGTCTCGGCCTCACAGACCCCAGCAGGGGTCTCGGCCTCACAGACGCGCGCGTCACTACCGCTCAACAACCACATTATTCAAGGCTTTATGTAACCAGCATTTAATTACTAATATTTTGATTACCACGTGGCTTCAAAACATATAGGTTCAGCAATCAAATAAATACAAAATCTGCCAAATACGCATGAAAACCTTGTATAAGTCAAGTAAAACCTAGCTATTTCTCCATTACATTGAGATACTGGCGGGCGGTACCAAGCCAAGAGGATGCAGGCCGGCGAACATTCCCACGGCCTCTCTGCTTCACTTGGGCCTCAAACCCCCAAGCCACCCGTCCTACAACACCAATAAACGACAATAGCTACTGTCTTACCCCAGAAAAATGATTTTTCCATTCCTCCTCGCATGGTGGGAGCTTTGTCAGTAGAGGAGAGCGTGGAGTGAACACGTGCGGCTGCCGGGAGAGGACTGTCAACAACGTGCCGCTGACGCCTGCCCGCCATCTGTCGTACCTCGCGCGCTACACTCTCGAACCCCACCAAGTCTACTCGGTCTTCCTTTACATTAACCTACGCGGAAAAAAAGTTCCAAGTAGTTATGGTGAAGCTCCTGCTCCGTATTTCTGGTACAGGAGCGAGGCTGTATGTGGTATGTGACCAAGTATATCTGACTGATTTATGAAGATCTCTGTGGCGTAGTGGTAAGACGCTCGCCTGGCGTTCCGCGAGCGCTTTGTCTTGGGTTCGTATTCTGGCTGGGGAGGATTTACTGGGCGCAAATCCTTAACTGTAGCCTCTGTTTAACTCAACAGTAAAATAGGTACTTGGTTGTAAAATCTATTCAGAGGACACTCCCTGCAATACCTCAAATCCTACCTTACTGACAGGCCCCAGTATGTTTCTGTGAATAATTCAATTTCTCCCACCCTACCCATCAACATTGGTGTTCCTCAGGGCAGCATACTTGGCCCTCTCCTCCTTCTCATCTACATTAATGACCTTCCAAATGCTTCCCAACACCTCAAACCAATTCTATTTGCTGACGACACAACCTTCATTTACTCCAGTCCTGACCCCCTCGCTGTTAATGGCACAGTGAATACTGAGCTAAATAAAGTCCATCTTTGGCTAACTGCCAACAAACTCACCCTTAACATTGACAAAACTTTCTATATTCTGTTTGGCAATAAATCCTCTAATCAAATAAATTTCAAAATAAACAATACCCAAATTTGTAACAAATTAGATGGCAAATTCCTTGGCATTCTCATTGGCCACAAGCTGAATTTCCAGGGACACATTCTAAATATATCAAAAAAAGTTTCAAAAACTGTTGGCATTCTGTCTAAGATCAGATATTATGTACCCCGCCCTGCCCTGGTGACTCTCTATTACTCCCTCATCTATCCATATCTCAACTATGGTATTTGTACTTGGGGTTCTACTACCCAAAATCATTTACGCCCTCTAATTACTCAACACAAAGCTGCTATTAGGACAATATCCAACTCTGGCCCCAGACATCACTCGGTACCCCTACTCAAATCTCTGAATATGTTAGACATTAAGTCACTGCACATTCTCTCATGTGTATTATACATATATAAAACGCTAAACTGTAATGCCAATCCTGACCTCAATCCTCACCACACCAGAAATAAATACAATTTTGATATTCCTAGAGTACGACTTAATCAAACTAGAAATGCTCTACAAATCAAGGGACCCAGATTGTGGAATGACCTTCCCAACCATGTTAAAGACTGTTCCTCTCTCAACCAGTTTAAGATAAAAACGAAGCTATACCTAATAAATTCCCTGTAACCTACCTTACCCCTCTATTGTCAACCAATGTCTGATTTTTTTTAAAGAGCGCTGTTTGTCGACAGAATTGTATTTGTGCTGCTTTTTCAGCTATGTTTTCATTCCATGTTTTCATTTTATTCTTTATTCTCAATTAGTATTAAGCTTTAGTCATTTAAGTTTTTCATGCCTGAAACGCTTTGCGTAATAGTGGCTTTAGGCATTGTATGTACTAGCTCTATCTATAAATCCATCACTCTTTGTAAAATCTCTTGTATGTATGTACCTTACCTAAATAAACATTTGATTTGATTCTTCGCGGTGGGGGTCGTATTCCAGGAACCTGCCAGAAACGCTTTGCGTAATAGTGGCTTTAGGCATTGTATGTACTAGCTCTATCTATAAATCCATCAACTTTTGTATTTCACCTTGTATGTATGTACTTTACCTGAATAAATATTTGTATTTGTTTGTATTTAAACGCTACGCGTACTAGTGGCTGTACAAGAATGTAACAACTCTTGTATATATATCTAAAAAAAAAAAATTAAGCCATGCTAGAGGTGGCACGGGTATGAATAACCAGTAAGAGTCAACGTCACGTGGTGGGGTTATTTGGCCTCCACAACACCTTACTCACAACAATATATCCCAATATTAGTGAGTGTATGATGTAGTTACAGAGCTCAAGGTATCTCATACTATTTATTCTGAAGTTATTGATTACAGGAAGGAAGGAAAGTATCAGGAGAAAGCGCTAAGCCATTACGACTACAGCCCTTGGAAGGGATGAGAATGTGGGATGGGACGAGGAGAAGGAATGAATGAATTAAATATAGGGCAAGATACCCTTTGGGTGAGCTTTGAAGTGGGTATAGCTGAAGAATAGCCGGTGAGAGGAAACTTCGAAGTTGGAAAGACAGAGCCAGGGGTAAACCCAGTTGCATATGGCGTAATTGAGGCTTTTCAACACCGGTTCAGGCCGGCTAGGCGAGGAGACAGGGGTCTGGAGGCGAAGTGAGGACTGCTGTCCTCTTGAGTTGTAGAGTCTTCTTTCTTCGATGAAGCTGAAGTCTTATTTCTTCTGTGATCCTAATGGTACAAGGCACACATATATAATTTTAGAGAGTGTGTCACAGCTCTTGTTCACATAGTTTACAACTGTTAAGCTCACCGTTGTAGCAATTCATTACCTGCCATAAGTAACAATATTTCAGCCTAATTCTGGCATTCACAATTTTACACTATTACACCGAACCTGTCCCCAGAAGCCCACATCAAAAGAATATCATCAGAGGCATATAAGAACTGGCCTTTAGAAGCTGTGTAAGGAATCATTCAGAACCTTGTATACCACTTATGTCAGACCAATCCTGGAATATGCAGCTCCAACCTGGAGTCCATACCTAGTTAAACACAAGACAAAGTTAGAGAAGATTCAGAGGTATGCCACCAGACTAGTCCCAGAACTGAGAGGTATGAACTACGAAGAAAGGTTACATGAGCTAAACCTCACGTCCCTGGAAGACAGAAGTGTAAAGGGAGACATGATCACACCTACAAAATTCTCATAGGAATTGACAGGGTGGACAAAGACAAACAATTTAACATTGGTAGAACACGAACAAGGGGACACAGGTGGAAACTTAGTACCCAAATGGGCCACAGACATTATTTTTATTAGAAGGATTTTTTTCAGTGTCAGGGTAGTTAACAAATGGAATGCATTAGGCAGTGATGTGGTGAAGATAGACTCCATATACAGTTTCAAATGTAGATTCCATAGAGCCCAATAGGCTTAAGAATCTGTACACCAGTTGATTGACAGTTAAGAGGCGGGACCAAAGTGCCAAAGCTCGGCCCCCCCACAAGCACAACTAGGTAAGTACTGTCTGATGGATGTTTTGTGTTGTCCATACATATACTTATACGAGTTGTCCGTACGCTTAAATTATCAAGCGTGCCTTTGACTATAAGGAAAAGAAGGTAGTGATTCAATTGTATAAACCTCTGGTGGGCCCCATTTGAATTACTGTATCCAAGCGTGGAGACCTCATCTTCAGAAGGACATAGCTGCTCTGGAGAATGTGCAACACCGGGCAACAAAAATCTTTCCAGAGCTAAGTCAAATCACGTGTTAGGAACGGTTGAGAGCCACAGGACTATTAACACTGCAAACTAGGCATGCCAGGGCGGAGCTCATTCAAACTTTTAAAATAGTGAACAAGTTAGGAGATATTGATCCGGACAATTTCTTCAAAGGGTCAGATGTAACACAAACAAGGAGCAACGGTTTCAAGCTCAACAAGCCACAATGTAAGCTGAGAACAGGCGATGCGTTTTCACTCGCAGGGTTATCAACCCACGAAACTGCCTACCCGCCGTAGCCTTAAAAGCCAAAAAACTGTTAACTTTTAGAGTACAACCGGAAACGATCAAGGCAAATGGGGGGGGGGCCTTCGATAAGCCGCCGGCTTCCTGTCCTTGTCGAGGCCACTAGTATTAGTGACTCTCAGCTAAACTCAGGTAATATAGTTCTCGGTTCTAAATTTCTTTATACTCGTGTATTCCATTCTAAATCTTTTTATGTCCGTATAACGCTTTGAAACTACTGACTGTTTTGGCCTCCACCACCTTCTTACTTAGCTTGTTCCAACCATCTACCGCTCTGTTTGCAAAAGAAATCTTTTTAATATTTTTTCGGCACCTTTTTTCATTAGCGTGTGTGTCCTCTTGTTCGTGAAGATGCTGGTTTCAGGAATTCAGTTGCTGGTTTCGTGTATTCTGTTCTGTGCTAAATTGATTTGTCTATATTGAAAGGAAATTATATATATCGACATTCTTTGCTAAATTATTCAAGTGAAAGAGACAGAGATTTATTTTAAAGAAAGAATAATACTAAAGAATAAAAATATGAAATGTATCAGTAATATGAATGTACAGTGATGGCGTATGACAATGGTCATTATTGTGCACACTCCAGACTGGCTTGAACCAGAAATGCATTAGATAAGATACATGTACATAAAGTCAATATAATATTGAAATTTAATTTAATTGGATATAATTTAATATATAACATTTGTATTAAGAAACGAAGTGAAGTTTTAAACAAAAATATTTTGATTTTTTTTGTTAACAGCAATGTACTGCTACCCTATTCTATATGAAAAATTATACAGTGTAGGTATAATCCGTGTATACCGTACACCATAGCCCGTGTACCCGATATCCCAATGTAGAAATAGCCTAAGCTACTCTATCCCTTTGAGATGTATTTCTTTCTTGTCTTAATAAACATACTTGAACTATACAGTGTAGATAAAAAAAAATCTAGCTATACGTTCATCTAATATCACCCATCTCACAGGATGGTTAGTAATACATGGAATCAGGAGAAAGCATGAAATGCAAGGCAAGGCTGATCTATTAGCACACTCTGGGTAGAGCACAAGAATATCTTTCAATATTCGTGAAGGTATGAAGTAGTTATAGGGCTCAAAGTACTTCATACCTTTTGGTCTGAAATAATTGATAACAGGGTAGTTATCTAGAAAAGCTTGGAAAAGATTCCAGTTTCAAGCTGAAAAAGATTATCATGGCAAATGGGGGGGGGGGGGGGGGAAGAACCTTCGACAAGCCGCTGGCTTCCTGTCTTCGTCTAGGCTACTAGTATTAGTGGGCCTCATGCAAATTAGTCACAGATATAGTGTTGGAGAGTATGTCTTAGCTCTTGTTGAGACTTAGCAGTCTCCGTGGTGTAGTGGTTATAATTAAGACACTCCCCTGGCGAATGAGTGGTTACGGGCTCACCATAGCCCGTGCTACTGGAACTTCTTGTTCTGAGTAGCTGAATCTAAAACAACAAAGAACAACGTTTCGCAACCGTTTGTCCCGGGTTCGTATCCTGGTCGGGGAGGATTTACTGGGCGAAATTCCTTAACTGTAGCTTCTGTTTAACTCAACAGTAAAAAGGGGTTGTTAAACGATTTTTAGCGGGGTCGTATTCCAGGGAACATAGGATTAAGGACTTGCCCGAAACGCTACACGTACTAGTGGCTGTACAAGAATGTAAGAACTCTTGTATATATATAAAAAAAAATGTTCACATAGTTTACAATTGGAATGTTCACCACTGGGGGATTCATTACCCGAATTCACCTGAATTTCCTGCAGTCACCTGCCATAGATATCGATATCCCAACCTAATTCTGGCAATTACAATGTCAATAACAATTACAATGTCGAAATAGGGAGTGAGCTATATAGGGAATAGATTTAATCAAAGAAATCAGATTTAGCGTAGAATGGAATAGCTCTGTAGGAGAAAGTTCTGTTAAAGTGGCAGATATTCGAAAAGCTGATTTTAATAACCTAAGAATTTTTTTGGGGGGTCACATAGATTGGAAAGTCTTGGGCATGGGGGGGGGGCGGTCTTGAAGCGAGACGTGAACCCAGTGATAGGTGACGTAAAAAGGAATTTCGATGTGGATTCAAAATATAACTTATTTCAAAATATTCTAAGCAAAGCACAGGAACGTAGTATACCATACAAATTGAATAGATCGAACACTAATGACCCCTAATGGATAGCAAAGGATCTGAAGAATCTTATAGGTAAAAAGAGAGCGTGGTACAAATAGATTAAGGATGGGGAAGTCAGTTTAGAACAGGAATTCGTACAACTGGTTAGAAATGTTAAAAAAGAGATAAGGAGGGCAAAAAGAAACTATGAAGTTCGCAAAGCAGGGCAAGCAAAGACAAGGCATAAAGTGTTTTTTCCATTATATCGAACAAAGATTAGGAAAAGGATAGATCCATTAAAAACTGAGACAGGTCAGATAACGGATAATGACGAAGAGATGAGTAGTATTTTTAATAAATATTTTATCTCTGTATTTACTGAAGAGAAACTTAACACTATGCCTTCAGCAGAACAAGTCTATGTGTATATGTAGTAGCCTTCAATAATATAATATGTAGCCTTCAATAATATAATATGTAGCCTTCAATAATATAACCTCTCCCACTCTTCCACTCTTCTCAGACCTGAGGAAGGCCTTTGATACTGTTAACCACAACTACCTCTTACTTAATTTAATTCAATTCAATTCAATATTTATTCAGGTAAAGTACATACATACAAGGTAAGATACAAAAAGTTGATGGATTTATAGATAGAGCTAGTACATACAATGCCTAAAGCCACTTTTACGCAAAGCGTTTCGGGCAGGAGAAACACTAAGACTAAAACTTAATACTAATTGAGATTACAGCATAAATTGTGTTGAGAAAAAATAAGACAAAAATGAAAAAAAAGGGGGGGGGAACATGGCAGAAAAAACAAAAATACAATTTGGTCACCGCACCACTGTCTACTACTTGAAACAGCATTGTTTCAAGTAGTAGACAGTGGTTGACATTTTGGGGGTGAGGTAGGTTACACGGAGTTAATAAGGTAGTACTTTGTTTTTATCTTAAACTGGTTGGGAGAGGTACAGTCTTTAACATAATTGGGAAGGTCGTTCCACATTCTGGGTCCCTTGATTTGTAGAGCATTTCTAGTTTGATTAAGTCGTACTCTTGGAATATCAAATAGGTATTTGTTTCTGGTGTGGTGCTCATGGGATCTGTTACAACCTTCTAGGAAGCTTTTAAGGTCAGGATTGACATTACAGTTCAGCGTTTTATATATATATAAAAAATACACATGAGAGGATGTGCAGTGACTTAATATCTAACATATTCAGAGATTTGAGTAAGGGTACCGAGTGATGTCTGGGGCCAGAGTGAGATATTGTCCTAATAGCAACTTTGTGTTGAGTAATTAGAGGACGTAAATGATTTTGGGTAGTAGAACCCCAAGCACAAATACCATAGTTGAGATAAGGATAGATGAGGGAGTAATAGAGAGTCACCAGGGTAGGGCGAGGTACATAATATCTGATCTTAGAAAGAATGCCAACAGTTTTTGAAACTTTTTTAGATATGTTTAGAATGTGTCCCTGGAAATTCAGTTTGTAGTCAATGAGAATGCCAAGGAATTTGCCATCAATTTTGTTACAAATTTGGGTATTATTTATCCAGAGATT